AAATAAAATAAACAAAAGTATGAAATAAAAGTGTATAAAAAAATAAATAAGTTAAAAATAAAATATTAAATTAAATTAAATGTAAAATAAAATAAAATATACAATAAAAATATAAAATAAGTTAAAATAAAGTAAGAAAATAAGATAAGATAAAATATAAAATAACAAATAAATTATAAAATAAAATAAATAAAAAATGAGAAGTTAAAAATAAAATAAAATATAAAATAAAATAAAATAAAACAAAATATAAAATAAAAAACATTACAAAATTAAAAATGAAATAAAATAAAAATAAAATAAAATAAAAATAAAATAAGTTAAAATAATATAAAAATAAGATAATATAAAATATATAATATAAAAAAATCACATAAAATATAAAATAACAATAACATAAAATATAAAATAAAATATGAAATAAACAAAGATAAGATGAAAAAAATAATAAAGTAAAATAAAAAAGTAAATAATAAAATAAAATAAAAAAAAACCTTGAATGAAAAATAAACAGTTTGCTTGTATTTGTTGTTAGGCAGTGTAAACATCCATAATTTGCTGTGTGTTTAAATCACAAATGTTTAAGTAGGCATTAGAAATCCCCTGAAGAAGCGTGTCATCTGACTTTTTAGTCCAACCTCAACCTAGCGCATCATCTGTGTAGTACTGCCACATTCTCTTCATCATTATTTCAAAGCATTCTTCTACAGCGTAATTTATAACTTAAGTAATATGTCCTGTGATAGCAATTAGAGCAGTGCTAATTAAAATCATTAAGTAGACTGATTCGATTGTTTGACGAGGCTGATACACATCAGTATGCTGTTATCTCGCCTCACCCTTGATGTTTAATCCTTTGTGTAAGGCACTTTTCCCCACTGTGAATATTTAGTAGTCTCTCATCCTAATTCAATGATAACACCTGTTCATTAGTGACACACATTTTATCACATGAACACACACACGCTAGGGTTGTAAAATTGCAGTTTTTTTTTCTTTATTTTGTAATCAAGGCAAAATTTTTTAATTACACTTTAGTGTCCTCTTCAGTAATAATGGAATGCATAATTGCAGTACATGCAACCAACAAGATCCTAAACCTATAAAGTAAGTGCATTTTTGTTTAAAATAATAGTAATGCAGTACTTAAATGCATAATTACACTGTAATCAGGACACTTTATATGAAAGTGTAGGTGAGAGTAGTTTAATTGGAGTAATTTAAAATGTTAAATGCAAATAACTAAAATCAGTAAGATTGTATTTACATTTTTACATTGTTAAAAGATGATTTTATTCAAAATAATATTGTTCTTTGGATGTTTTTATTCATCGAAGTTGAAGTCATCGAAGAAAGATTAACTATCACAATTGTTGTCAATAATAATAACAAAAAGGGCTTTTAAGCTCTAAATTTGCATATTGAATTATTTCTATAACGGATCATGTGACGGAGAAGCCTGGTGCAGTAATGGTCAGCTTGATCACATGCAGGAACAAATTACATTTTAAAACATTTTAGCATGCATGTTCTTCCCGTGTTGGTGTGGGTTTCCTCCTGGTTCTCCAGTTTCCCCCACAGTACAAAGACATGCAGTAGGTGAATTGAATAAGTTAAATTGGCCCTAGTGTACAGTTGAAGTCAAAATTATTAGCCCCCCTTTGAATTGTTTTTTCTTTTTTAAATATTTCCCAAATGATGTTTAACAGAGCAAGGAAATTTTCAAAGTATGTCTGATAATATTTTTTAATTTTTAATAGTTTTTTAATTAAAAAAAAAAACATTTTAGGGTCAAAATTATTAGCCTCTTTAAGCTTTTTTTTCAATAGTCCACAGAACAAACCATCGTTATACAATAACTTGCCTAATTACTCTAACCTGCCTAGTTAACCTAATTAACCTTAGTTAAGCCTTTAAATGTCACTTTAAGCTGAAAATTATCTTGAAAAATGTCTAGTAAAATATTATTTACTGTCGTCATGGCAAAGATAAAATTAATCAGTTATTAGAGATAAGTTATTAAAATTATTATGTTTAGAAATGTGTTGAAAAAATCTTCTTCTCCATAAACAAATATTGGGGAAAAAAATAAACAGGAGGGGTAATAATTCAGGCAGGCTAATAATTCTGACTTCAACTGTGTGTGAATTGTGAGAGTGTATCGGTGTTTCCCAGTGCTGGTTTATGGCTGGAAGGGCGTCCGCTGCATAAAACATATGCTGGATAAGTTGGCAGTTCATTAATCTGTGGTGACCCCTGATTAATAAAGGGACTAAGCCGAAGGAAAATGAATGAATGAATGAATGAATGAATGAATGAATGAATGAATGAACATTTTAGCATAGAAAACATTTAACTCCAAATGACATTTTAAAATGTATAAATTTCCTCCTGTATATTGTATTCTGCTCAAATAAACGTAACTTTTGATTTGAAACTTGAGGCTTGAGTTTCAGTAAAATATTAATTGTTGTTTTATGTTGTGAAGTCTAATACTATTGCTTCAACAACGACAACCAATAAAACCTAAATTATAGCTTAAAAATATTTCTCTAAATATTGATTTATGAACTCTTTTGAAGGTCACATTCTGGTATTGTGTTGTCTAAAAATAAATATAAACAATATGGCTTGTTTGTTATTTTGTGACAAAAAAGTTATAAAATTGGAAGATATATCATAAGTAATTTACTTAATTTAACATAGCATAATAAGTATTAAACATGTTGTGGAGAGGTAAGCGTGATCGAACACCCAATAAGGGGGAAGAGCATGCTAGGAGCCCGGCGGCTAATCAGCAGGTCAATCAGAAATGATAAATAACACCTGCCTTTCTAGTGATTGGGCCGGAGAGACTCCCTTCTTAAGGAGAACGGGAAGAGCAGTCGAGAGAGGAGAGAGCACACACACACAGACACAGCTTGCAAGTGGTGTGCAAAAACAAAATAAAATATATTGCTTACCTGATATCGCCGACCCTGTCTTCTTCTTTCCACACAACAACGAACTATACTACACATGTCATGTTTTTTTTTCTGGGATTAATATTTCTAATGGAGCTGTTGACATGGAATTGAACCAATTCAATTCAATTCAATTCAGCTTTATTTGTATAGCGCTTTTACAATGTAGATTGTGTCAAAGGAGCTTCACATAAATGGTCATAGTAACTGGAACAGTGTGGTTCAGTAACTGGAACAGTGTGGTTCAGGTTTTAGTGTTTAAGTTCAGTTCAGTTCAGTTTAGCTCAGTTCAGTGTGATTTAATCATTACTGAGAGTTCAAACACTGAAGAGCAAATTCATCGATGCGTAGCTCTACCAGTCCTGAACCATGCGAGGCAGTGGCGACAGCGGAGAGGGAAAAAAAACTTCACCTGATGGGAGTGAAGAAAAAAAACCTTGAGAGAACCAGACTCAGTTGGGCACGACCATTTTAATTTCTCCGCTGGCCAAAAGTCTTGTGCAGAACTTCATTCGCCGTGGTTTATGCTGGAAGATGGCCTCAATGAAGACTCGTCTGTCCCTGGAGCGTCGCTGGAATCAGACACATGTTCTCCACTCCCCACGACCATCAGCGCAGCAGCAGCTCAGGATATGGACTGGTCCCGGATATGGAATCCTTGGGATCATCACGTCGCTGGTCTTGGATCCAATCAGTGACTCCGCCTAATCTGAGGACCTCGGGATGAGTATCCCCAGGTGAAAATAGAGAATAAAGAGAATAATTAGCGTAGCTGCTGTTCATAGTGTATATAAGCAAGATGCAGAAGCCAGTGTGGAACCCGCTAGGTGATGCATTGAGTGTATGCTTTACTAAACAGATAGGTCTTTAATCTAGTTTTGAACTGGGAGAGTGTGTCTGAGCCTCGGACATTACCAGGAAGGCTATTCCAGAGTGTAGGAGCCATGAAAGAGAAGGCTCGACCTCCTTTACTTGATTTTGCTACTCTAGGTACTACCAGAAGCCCTGAATTTTGAGATCTTAAGGAGCGAGTTGGTTCGTAGCGAGACAGAAGGTTGGTTAGATAAACAGGAGCTAGATTATTTAGAGCTTTATAGGTGAGAAGTAATATTTTAAATTCAATACGAAATTTAACAGGCAGCCAGTGTAAGGAGGATAAAATTGGGGTTATATGATCATATTTTCTAGACCTGGTCAGATTTTATTAAAAAACCAAACATATTTTATTAAAAAACCAAACATTAAAAAAAATGAAATATGAGTTATGTGTAATAGCACTGGAATGACACAAAGAGAAAGTACTGAACTATTGAAACATATTTAATACTTTACGTTTTTCGGTGATGGCAGCTTAAAGACGCCTCTCATAGGGAGAATGAAGTTGTATGAATTGCTCAGGTGTGAGTATTTCACAGACTTCAACAAAGTGTAAAAATCTTGATGGTTCTGTCGGTCTTGTCTATCAAATCTGATCTTTATTTGTATTCTACATTCGATTCAAGTCAGGTGATTGGTTAGGCCATTTGACAGCTTGATTTTCTTTCTTTGAAAGCATTTTAGAGTTTCCTTGGCTGTGTTTTGGATTATTGTCTTGCTGAAGTGTTCACTCACTTAGATGTGTAGATGTTGTACTGAAGCAGCTAATATTTATTTACAGTGACGAAGGGCAGAGGGTTGCTGAATAATTACTGGGAGATAGCTGCAGTCTGAGCTTTAGTTGCCATTCTACACCTCCCTTTCTTCATGTGTTCAATACTTTTTCCCTGCATAATTTCATTTTATTACGCATAACTTAATTTGTAAACTAATTAGATTTGTTTTCTTTGCATATATGGATTTCTTTGGTTGTTACTAACCAGGCATTTCAAGTCAACAACACCTTTAGAAATATGATTTCAGAGAAGAATTGTGACGAGTATCTGCATAAAGGATGTGTTTTCGCATTATTTATTGCTTTTTAAATTCAGAATTGTGAAGACAACTGTTTTGTAAATGACTATAGTATACATCTCCAAAGACATATTTGCTTCATTGCAGGTCCCAGACACAGCATTTGCTCTTCGGCCAGTTTCTGGAGTGCTGTTCCCCCGTCAGAGAGCAGCTGGACCACCCAATCAGAGGAGCAGAGCTCAGTGAGCATGGGGGCGTCTTCCTGTGACCTGCCATCTCTGAACACTGAAGAGCCAGCCAGTCATTCACCCTCCTGTCCACACTCTCCCAGTAAGTATCCAAGGTGCCCTCTGTGGACTCTATATATATTGTACAGACCTTTTCTTAAACTGCTAAATTACCCATTATGCTTTGGGTGTACTGGTTAAGAGGATGTTCCAAACTTCCGGTTGGCAGCATGATGTACAACACCAAATCAGAAAAAGTTTGGACAGTATGGAGAATGCAGATAACAAGTAATTTCTATTTATTAGAGTGTTACGAGTTTAAGATGTTTTAGTGGGATGCTGTAACATTTAGGTGAGACAGGTGTAATGTGTACGACAGATCAAGGATGAGGCAGGAATCAACTCTCTGTTAAAGCTTTTTTTACTCAATAGTTGAAACATTATGAAACAATAATATATTTTTTCTTTTAAATTCTCTTTAAAACCTGTAATCAAATGATGCTTCATTGCTTGATTTTTTAAATTATTATTATTTTTTTTAATTTTCCCTGTTTATTGGTCTCTAAAAATTAACAATTAGTTAAATAATAATAAAAAAAAATCTATTGCTAATGCTGATAATGTGTCAGGCTTTTTGAAAATAGCTCCAAGCATATTCCAAGCCCCAAACTCTAGATTTCATTGAGCAAAAACAATGTTTGAATAGCCACAATGTAAAAAATGCTGGGTTCCACACAATTGTTTTGTGTTGCGACAGCATGAAGGAATTGTTTTTAGCTCATTTTAATCAAGTTGTTTAAACAAACAATTATATGTGATACAAAAATACATCATACAGTGCAAAATATAATGACATACTTTTAATACAATATACATTTAAATACCGACTGTACAATAAATATGTAAAAATACTCTTGGCACACACATTTAGATGCAAAGATGCAAAGTAGTGTGATTTAAGATTTAACATAATACACTACATGACAAAAGTCTTGTTGCCTATCCAAGTTTTTGGAACTTCTAGTTAATCATTAGGTATCAAAAGTGGCTTATATTAAAGGCAAAGGCCTCTAGATTATGCTTATTTTGACAAATAAATTATGATCATGCCTTGATTTTTCAATTAATTAATAAGGACAGTAGTGTCTGACTTTGCTTAGACAAAAGTCTTGTCACTTAACAGAAATAATGTACAGTATCTAATCTAAAGTCATGGAGCAGTAGAAAAAGATTTGTTATTGTGTATGACTCCCATGAGCTTGGAGGACTGCATCTATACATCTCTGCAATGACTCCAATAACGTATTAATAAAATAATCTGAAATGGCAAAGACAGTGTTCATCAAGAGTTCATCAAGAATATTTGGATTCATCTTCAATGCCTCCTCCTTTATTTTACCCCAGACATGCTCAATAATGTTTATGTCTGGTGACTGGGTTTTCCAATCCTGGAGCACATTGACCTTCTTTGCTTTCAGGAAGTTTGATGTGGAATGCTAAAGTAGGAGAAGGAGCGCTATCCTGCTGAAGAATTTGTGGTTTGTAAAGTAATGGGCAGCACACATGTTTTGAAACCTCAAGGTGTTGATGTTGCCATCCACTCTGCAGATCTGCATGCCCCCATACTGAATGTAATCCCAAACCCTGATTTTTCCCTCACCAAACTTGACTGATGTCTGGGAGAATCTTGGGTCCATGCGGGTTCCGATAGATCTTCTGCAGTATTTGTGATGATTGGGATGCAGTTCAACAGATGATTCATCAGAAAAATCTACCTTCTGCCACTTTTGCAAATGATCAACTAGAAGTCAAGTTATTATTTTTTGCTCTTAAAACTGGGATTGACAACACAATCAACACTATTCTTGAGATCTTTTTGGGTGGACAACTTAATTGTTTTATGTTCAATCCACTTAAATTTGCACAAAAAAGTAAGATAACCTAATAGAATTGTGTCGGGACAGCAGAATTGTGAGCATTTTTACAGTGCATATAGTTTGACTGTTAATGAGTAATTTCAGCTAAAAATAGACAATATTTTGTCAGCCCAGCATAAAATTTGGTTGCATATGCGAGTGATTTACTAGCTTTATAGAGGAGTACCACACACACAGTTATAGCTGCTAGTTAATAAATGGCTACCTCTCATCATCTGAACATCTTTAAGTAGCACTCAGAGCCTCAAACAGTAATTAAAGTCTGTCCCCTCGTGAGGAGACAGAGAGAAGTGAGAATTGTTCAGGAAATGCTTCACGCGCTGAATTATCCATCAATAAATCCCTTCCGTTGCCTCCGGGGTCGCATCCAGGAACGCAGACGGAATGAAAAGACGGCAGGTTTAGGAGTAAATGATGGAGGAATCGGGACAAATAAATTGAGCCGGTGTGTGACAGCTGCTCCTCAGATGCTCCTCTGGTGTGAGTGATGGCGGCTCTGAAGGAACGCTGTGCTGATTTGAGGCAGGAATCTCTCTCTCCAGCAGGTAATTTGCGGTTAGCGCTCCTGCACGATCCATCTCGGGCCTCTCGCCTCGGCCTCCAGCAATAGCTCACTCACACCAGGGTTTCTATGGAGACTGCAAGAGGGTGAGGTGCTTAGGATGGTTTTATTTATTAAAATGCAGCATGCTTCATTTCTCAGATGGAGGGAGGATGGAGACGCTGCAACAGAATTTTCACTCCAGGGAGAAGTGAGTCGAAGCGTGTGATGCTGAGTGTTTGTGAAAGCAAATGTTGCGCTAAATAGTGAAATGTAAAATTACGACAAGCTGCGCTGGAGTTTGATCATGTCTAAGCCTGTTAGAAAAAAAACATAAGATTGTGCTGTGAAATATGCTTTTTTTAAGATAGAAAGTTTTTTCAATACTGCTGTTTAAGTGTTTGGCTAATTTGTTCTTTATCTGTAGGAAATTCATACTTTTGTAGACCATTTTGAGGGATGTAAACAAAAACAATGGTCCCAACGTACTGTTTATTTTAAATGTTTAATTTCCAAAGCTTCCGAGAATCCAAAAAGAGCCACATATTGATACATAATGATAGCTGTTTTAACATTAAGTCATGATTGAATTGCCTCTTATTACAGTTGAAATTAAATAGTTTGATCACAAGCAGGAAATGTTCATAGGCCAGTGACATGACCACATTGAAATGGTCTATTCTGTGATTAATCAAACATAGCAGTGGAATGGAGACGTAATAATACAAAATATTCTATGACGAAGTACCTGGAGAAAACACACATGAACACTGGGAGAACAAGAAACTTCACACAGACATGCCAACTTTACCCAGTCGGGACTCTAACCAGTGAACATCTTGCTTTAAGGCGACTGTGCTAACCACTGAGCCCACTTGTATTCAATTTAAGTGCAATTTAAAGATTTAACCAGGCTAATTAGGTTAACTAATTTAGGTTAATCAAGGAAGTCATTGGACAACAGTGATTTGTTCTGTAGCCAATAATAATTAAAAAACAAAATCTCAGAGTGGCTAAAAAATTGACTTTAAAAAGGGTTTTTAACAAACTTTAAACTATTTTAATTCCAGCCAAACTAAAAGAAATAGTAAAAGAACTGGATTTTCTCCAGAAGGAAAAATATTAAAGGAAATACTGAAAATTTTCCTAGTCTGTTAAACATAATTTAGGATATATTTAAAAAAATACAGAAAACAAATTATTCAATAATAAATATTAATTATTTGTTGTTACTACAGGATTATTCTCCTTGAAATAATTAACTAAGACAATTACTTGTCATACCTGCCAACATTTGTTTCTGAAATTACAGGAGTTTTCCGGGAGAAATGACAAAATGGGAGGGTGACGGGAGATGGGTCTGAAATACTTTAGACTCTTGGGAAAAATTGGAATGTTGGCAGGTACTACTATAATAATCTTTTTTTTTTTTTCTCTTGAACACCCAATAATTATTTTTGTGAAGTGTTGCTAACAAGTCTCTGACTGCCATAGTAAGGAAAAAAAGCCATAGAAGTCAATGGGTGCTGGTTTCCAACATTATTCGATATGCTTTCTTTCGTGTTTAATATAAAAAAGATACTTAAATAGATTTCAAATATAAATATGGGTGAGTATAAGGTGAGTAAATTAGCACAGGAGTAAATTGAGACTGGAGGCATATCATTAAACCAAGCTATATTGAGAGCAATTATAACTAATATTTTATATAGTATTAACTAATATTTCTAGAATCATTTAGTGTTTTTCAGTATTCCCTATAGCCTGAGCCACACGATAAAACCATATTAAAAAACTGTTTAAAAATGTACTTTCCCTGGCCATGTTCGCCCCTCCCATCTGCCTTTGCTCCTGCTCTCAATGTGCTGTTGTGTACCTCTGAAACCTTAGGTTAATCAGGAAAGTCATTGGACAACAGCAAATTGTTCTGTAGCCAATAATAAAAAAATAAATTCTTTGGGGGGCTAAAAATATTGACCCTAAAAAGGGTTTTAAAAAAACATTAAACTGTTAATTCCAGCCTAATGAAAGAAATAGTAACTGCACTTTCTCCAGAAGGAAAAAAAATATTATAAGAAATACTGTAAAATATTTCATGGTCTGTCAAACATAATTTGGGATATATTTTAAAAACAGAATAGAAATTGTTCAATATTATGTATTCATTCATTTTTTTTGGGCTTTGTCCCTTAATTAATCTTGGTTCGCCACAGTGGAATGAACCACCAACTTCATAAATCCAGCATGTTTTACGCAGCAGATGCCCTTAGCTGCATCTCATCACTGGGAAACTCCCATGCTCATTCACACATATACACTATGGACAATTTAGTCCACATAGCGCATGTTTTTGGACTATGGGGGAAACCGGAGCACCCAGAGGAAACCCACAACAACATGGGGAGAACATGCAAACTCCACACAGAAATGCCAACTGACAGCCGAGACTCAAACCAGTGACCTTCTTGCATTGAGGCGATCATGCTACTCACTGAGCCACCGTGACACCCCAGATTTTTACAGTGAGAGGTAATCATTTCTCCGTTAAACAGAAATTAGGGTGGCTAATAATTCTGACTTCAACTGTATATATATATATATATATATATATATATATATAGAATC